GGTCATCTATAAATTAAGATGATTCATATTGCAAGTAAATCAAATAAATTGGGGGTAGAAAGATAGATGGCATTAAGGGGGAAAAGAGTTGCAAGGGTTGAGATCAATGCCATTGGGGATGTCTTTCATGAGCTATGGAAGGGTAACCCACACCAAATCCCTAATATTAGCCCTACCAACATCCAAAACTGTCAAACTCATCATGGTGAGGTCGGAACCGTGGGTTCGATTCTCGCTTGGAACTACTTTCATGGTAAGCTGTTAAATTTGTTTTTGTAAAGTTATTCTAATACATTCTGATAAACCATGTTGGGCAACAAGAGCATATGGAATCTGATTAAGCATATGGTGATCGTATATCATTGTAGATAGGAAAGATCGTGTATCGAAGACGTTAATTCATGATATCAATGAGGAAGACAAGTTGATCACGTTTCATGTGACGGAAGGTGATGTTCTGGAACTATACAAGGACTTTGTCGTTCATCTTCATGTTGACACGAAGGGGTCACGCCACATCGTTACTTGGACTGTTGAGTATGAGAAATTAAGTCCTGACATCCCTGATCCAGATACTCTTATGGAATTTTACACGAACCTCACCAAGGATATAGAGGCTCATCATACTAAATGATCACTGTGCAGGATGCTGAAACTTGGTCTTGATTTCATGTTTTCTATGTTTTATATGTAAACGTCTTGTCATCTGATTATGATGTAATAATCGAAATAGTGATCTTGGTTTCAATAAATCGTCATGTGGTCGTGTTTGATTTGTTGTCGTTATAGCATGATGAATTGTTAATATGGAAAATTGACTTCATAGGACGCTTAGAATGTCTACGCGTTCTAATAGAGTACTTTATATAACTTAAGTTTATAGGACCAAACTATAAAGCGCCATGTTTTTCATTTCTATAGGTTTATAGGATGTTTTTGGGTGTTTTAACAAGCTTTTTAGGACGTTTTTAAACTAAAATATCCTATTAGCTATTTTATAGGACGTTATTGGGAAGTGTCCTATGAACTCATCTTTTTATAAAACAATTTTTCAAATAGTGTCATATAAAATTGCTATTTATTTCAAAAGTGTCATAAAAAACTCATTAAAACGCCTAAAAACGTCTTATAAACTAATTGTAACACTTCTAGATAAGACACTTTTGGTTTGGTCCTATAATGGGACGCTTACACATTTTAGTCGTCCTATAAAACCAGTTTTATTGTAGTGAAAAGTTACTGAATATCAATACTTTTGTGTTGATGTCTTATAAGTTAATCGAATGTTTAGAAAAACGCAGTTAAAAAGGATTTTGATAGGTGTTTTCCGGGGAAAACAAGTAGATGAATGCATTGGGTTTTTCATATTAATTTGGGTGTTTTTTATAAGATTTTTTTTCTATTAATCTGGATATTCAATCCGTTATGCGAGCCGACTAATCACAAGGCGACCACCTGCTTTGCAGGTAGCCCGGAGTCACCGGATTTGAACCTTCATGACCATAAGGGATTTTTATTTCTCTTTGGATTAAACCTGGAACATTCAGTCACTTTTGAAGTTTGGAGTCCAAACTTAAACCACTCAGACACCAACTTATGGTTAAACTAGATGTGTACCCATGCAATGCGACGGGAGCCGTGAATTTTAACGATTTTGAAGTTTCACTGGTTTTATTAGAGAATATTTAACGATGATATAAGTTACACTTGGTCTTTACATATTAATACAATTTAAATAAATAAGAGTTATGGTTCCAATTACAGTCTATCGATGAAAAAAATTGTATGACAGTTTAAAATCCAATATATTTAAAATCCGACATATTTAAACGACTCCACAAATGTGTTTGATTTACACCAAGACCAAAGAATCAAGAGATCGAGAATTCTAGAGCAATTGAATGAGAGAACTTTTAATAACTCATGGTGAATATCAGTTTGAATCTCACATTGGGGGATGGGGAGAAGACAGAGGTATGAGAGGGTGAAGACATAAGTGAAAGGTGTCAAAAGTATCTTGGAAACATGAAAAAAAAATATAATTATGTGCATTGTTAACTTGTATTATATATTATTTTAATTGTAGATTAAGAGATTTAAGACTGAATGCATAAAGTAGTAGTACTTAATATATTATAAGTTATTTTTAAGACTTTATGCATTAAAAATTAATTTTAAGACTTTTGATAAATCTAGTTTATAAAGTAGTATAGATATCATGCTTCTCACTTATTGGAAAAGTGTTATCAACCCTCTTTAAAGCCTTATGGATCTGGCAAACACATCACCATGTTTGCCATAAATGCAAAACTAACATCCTTGCAAACTCACACATGACCATGTTTGCCATAATGCAAAACAACATCCTTGCAAGCCTCTTTTAAATTATATTTCTTATTGATTGTGTCATTGCTACATAATATATTCTTGCAATTAGATCATTCTTAATGAAGACACTAATGGGCCGTTTACTAAATACTTACTTGGTAAATATTTATCGGATAAATTTCCTCATCGGATGAACATGAGAAGGGTCAAGAATCTTACCGGGTAAAAGCGATGAGAATGATGGAAAGTCTTTCCCGGTAAGTGAGGATGACGACTCTTAACCAGGTAAGCGCTTACCCACTAAATTTTTGCATTCGATATGTTTTAATATACTAAAATCTTACGCATCAAAATAAATCATGGTGTTGACTTCTATCGGTAAGCGCTTACCGGGTAAGCAATTAGGTAAACGGCCCCTTAATAATTTGTAACATCTGTAAAATTCATTGTAAGCCATCGATTTTAGATAATTAATGTTATTTATTAATTAAACATTAAAGCATTTTTGTAAGAAAGTCAAATTCCAAAAAATATCTTTCTCTCTCTTCCACTCCTCTATCCTCTCTCTATAACAAACATGGCCAACCAACTACAACAAAATCGGATATATCACGACATCAAAAAAAATTAAGCGTCCTAATAGACCAATTTATAAGATTTAATTTATAGGATCAAAAAATAAAATGTCATATCTAAAGACGTTGTAATAAGTTTATATGATGTTTTTGAATGTATTAACAAATTTTTTAGAACATTTAATATAAAACATCTCATTAGCAATTTTAGAGGACGCTATTTAAAAAAATGTCCGATAAAAAGAAGTGTTCTATGGGAAATGGGTTTATAGGACACTTTCTCAAAACTATCCTATAGAATTGTTAATGCAGTGTTTTATTTTAAAAGTGTCCTAAAATTTTTGTTAAGACGTCCAAAAGCATCCTATCAACTTAATACGACTTTTTTAGATAAGATGCTTTATTTTTTGGTCCTAGAAAACGGTCTATTAAGACGCTTAGAAATTGGTGATATCCTATAAACCCAATTATTTATTGGAGTGTTCACAAGTGGTAGGTTTAGTTTTGTTGGTGATCACAATGTTTTCACAAGTTATACAAGATCTTAGAGATTCATAGTGTGTTCACAGTGTATTCTATAGAAACAAAGAACTTGCTTATTACAACAATGTTAACATATATTTATACTTGCAAAGAAATGAAAACAAATATTATAGATGATCACAAAAGTAACTACAAGAATCAAATCAAGAGATACCAGGGCATAGATAAAGGGATGTGATATGGAGGCATAGATCAAGTGATATGATGTGGTGTATCATGATCACAATCTTTATCTTTATAATCCCGCGCAAGATGGACTGTCTAAGATAACGGCCCAATCTTGGATACAAAAATCTGAAAAATAATGTGAGGAAGTGGTTTGGTAAGTGCATTACTAAGTTGATCTTTACTTGAAATATGGGACACCCGGAGAGTCCCATTTTGAACACTTCCACGAAGAAAGTGGTAGTCTAGGCCTAGGTGCTTCATTTTTAATGAAATTTTGGATTAAACGCGACAAATGCAGCACATGTGTTATCACAATAAATGGATGGTTGAACTATGGATTGGTAGCCGAGTTTGGTGAGCAAATTAAGAATCCAAAGAACTTTAGTTGTGGTTGATGCAATAACACGATACTCTGCTTCAGTAGATGAGTGGGCAACAGTTCGTTGTTTTTTGGAGCTCCACGAGATTGGATTATGGACAAGGTAGAAAGCATATCCGGTAGTCGAAATGTAATTATTCTTGTTTCTTGCCCCAATCAACATTAGAAAAGGCATGAAGTCGTGAAGGTGAATCTGTGAATCATGATTTCTTTATTGATTGTACCTACTAGATATTGTAGGAGATGTTTAAGAGTCGTTATGTGTTCCTCTGTGGGACAGTGCATGTATTATGACAACATATTAAACACTAAAAGCAACATTATGACGAGTTAGTGATAAATATTGAAGGCTTCCAACAAGGGCTCGATATTCAGTTGGGTTGGCAAGAGGTGATCTAGAGTTAAGAAAGAGGGTTGAGATGTGATCATAGGTGTTGGCATTGATTTGGCTTATTCCATGTGAACCATTTAAGAATATCAAGAGTGTATTTTTTGTTGGCTAAGGAAGAGATTGTAAGGATGAAGAATAACTTTAAGACCTAGAAAGCAGGAGAGATTTCTAAAGTCTTTAAGCGAGAATTGAGCAGAGAGTTGAGATATAAAAGTGTCAATGAGGTTTCTCTTGGAACCGATAACAATGATATCATCAACATAGACAAAATTGTGTTCAGAATTCATGATATGTTGGTTAATGTTTCTAGATAGGACAAATTTTGGTGAATCTTCACCTATGCTGTTATTGGCTTATAGCGGTGAAAATACAAAATCATGGTCACGATCAATATTTGAAATAGCGGTTATAGCGGCAGTACAAGAATGGTGGTTCATGTAATATTTCTTAGAATTATATATGTAGCATATATATGTATGTAGACAAAAATATATCTTATGCATTAATTGAAAATATAGTTTTAACATCAACTTAAACAAGTTTTACAAAACAAAATAGGAAAAGTGTTTATAAACGAGCTAATCGCAAGCAATAAGTTCAACATCCGAGTCAACATCATTTGATACGTTCACTTCTTCACTGAGATTAGCTTCCTAATCTTCCCCTTCCTCCCCTTTATCTCCAACGTGGTCATCATCATCATCATCCCCAAGTCAAAAACTCAAAAAAACCCAAAAAAATAAAGAATAACAACATAAATCTAAAGAGGTCGAAGCTAAAATATCGGATATCATTCCGCAAATATCGGTCAATTGTGCCGCTAATATCGGAAACACGATTTCACCGCAATTTTACCTTAGTCCGCAATCCGCTATTGCAGCACCATAGCACCGCAAGTGACAACATAGATCTTCACAATCAAAAAAGCCCAGAGTTAATTGAAAAAAAGATAATGCAATGAAAACGTTTACCAAGTCTTGTTTGCATGAGATCTTCGTAAATGGACGAGAAGGGGTAGCCTTTAGGCAGTTTCTTGGAAGAATGTAGCAGAAACGCTCCAAAAGAATCATAATTTTGTTGTTGAACAATGACAACTGAAAACCATTATGATTACTTCAAAGAAAAGTATGGAGCATGGGAAAAGTTAAGAAACAAAGCGGGTAATGTTTATGATGTATCAACAAACAAGTTTAATATGTCAGAAGAGGAATGGCAGATAGAAATGAAGGTTACATTTTATCTTTCATGTTCTTGAATTTTCTTAAATTCTTCTTTTATGTATACTTATAAACTTTTATAAACAACCAAACAAATTCGTCGAGAAGTTGCAAACTGCACCTCTTTTCTTTCCTGAACTTTGTATTCAACTGTTTGATGGCGTTGCTTCCATTGATGTTGGTCATGACCAACTCCTACTGCTACTCTTCCAAACCCTTGTATTGTATCTCCTGAAATTGTTGAAGATTATGGCACACAAGACTACTATGATTTAACACAAGAACCACTTCCTTCGAAAGCACGCGTTCTTTTTCGTCCTCAATCTCAAAGGAAAAACACAAAAAGGAACACAACATTCGGTAAATGAGGATGATTTAGCAAAGGTTGTAGCACATGTTAAACATATCTTGAACTGAACGATCAAAATAAGGTAAAGCTTGGTATGTATTGCCCCTAACTATAGATCATATCCAGGCGAGAAAGTGTAGTAACTTTCACTTGCTTCCTCTCACAATCCATCAAATATACAATATGGATTCTGGCAATGCAATGTAGTGGGACTCTCGAATAGTTCGGGCCAAATCCTGAAGAAAGCTAAAAAGCGCCTCTTTTCTCGTTGTCCCACCACCTAATTATTTGGTGGTGTACAGAACTTGTCGCTTCTTTCTAGCGACCAGCTTCTCAAGTGGGTTTATTTAAACTTTTTTAACTTAAAATCTCTTATTTACCAAGATATGAAAGCCACGAGTTTACCAGGGGAGGATGAGATAGACCATTGCATTGATAATTATGAAAACACTTGGGTGGTGAGAAACCGCATTGTATGACATGGCACCTTACATATTCGGCCAAAGCACCGACTATAGGAAAATTTAGTTACGCTTGAATGAGGAGAGATGTGAGGGGTGGGTTAGATTTAGAAGTGGTAAACTCAATCTAATTTAGTTTGGTGATGTTTTGTTTCGTTTTAAACAATATTTTTTAGACGGTCTTTTTAGGATGTTTTTCTTTGGATGGTATTATGATTGGTTTAATATGAATAAAGTTATTTCAATTTGATGGGATGTATGTTTCAAGTTGATGTTTTTCAATTTTTTGAAGCATAACATGATGTTCTTTTGTGTTTTATATTTGCAAGGTCATATATGGCTCGAAACAAAATCAATCTGATTGTAATTATTATAAATTGGTATTTGAGAAGAACTTCAACACAAATAGAAAGGATGAGAGATAATACACATATACACAAGAATTATTAAGTGGATCCAATACGCAATGCCATGAATTGATGTGTTTATCTGGTGGTGCCTTTATAATGCTATGCAACATTTTAAACAAAATAGTTGGTTGCAATCAAGTAGACATATAAGTGTTGAAGAGAATGTAGCGATGTTTCTGACAATTGTTCACAATAAACGCTTTAGAAGGGTTAAAAGTAGATTTCAACACTCACACGGACTATTCATAACTGTTTCATAAAATATCAGGAGGAATGATGGAATTCATGAGAGAGGTAGTATAGCCAACATCCTTCAATGGAACATCAAATACGTCAGATAGATTTAGGCACCTCAAAGAAATATTTCTGGTATGATTTATGTTATTGATTTGATAATTTTTTAACCTTTTGATATTTTTACAAGTTTCTAATAGTTGATGTTTTTAAAAAAAGGGTTATAGGTGCACTAGATGGACACCTGATACATGTAATTGTACTCAGTGATCAATAAACAAGGTATAGAGGAAGAGGAAAAGGGGAAGGCTACCAAAACGTTTTAGCCATTTGTGATTTTAATATAATATTCACGTTTGTATGGGCTGGATAGGAAGACATTGCACATGATTCTAAAGTTTTGAGAGAAGTTACATTTAACCCAATTTCGAGATTTTCATTTCTTTCATCCAGTATTTTCTTAACATCAAAAGGTTATTAGTTTTCTATATTTCTTAAGTTGTAGATGTAACTACAAATAAATATTATATTGTGATGCCGCACATACTTGTATCCATGGATTTATAACTGTATCGTTGTACAAGGTATTGATTAGAAGATTTTCGACGTAGACATGTATTAACTAAAAAAGAAATGTTCAAGCATGTTCATGCACAATTTAGAAATTTTTATGAGTGTGAGTATGGTGTCTCAAAAGTGTTTTCCAATCCTAAAGCAAATACTCCTCATTTTTTCCAATACAGAAAATGTAGTGATTGTTTAGTCCTTTTTATGACATGTTCATATCTTAATGATAAAGGTGATAATGATATCAATTGGAGGTAGTGGTGGTGGCAGATGTGACAGATGCTGACAGTGATGGTGGTAATGGTCGTAGCAAAGGTGGTGTAGCGATGGTGGTGATGATGGCAGTGATGGTGGCGGAGGTGGCTCGACAGTGGTGGTGGATGTGGTGTTGGTTGGGAAACAATGGACTACAACAGTTGTCACTGGGTGCACATGAGGATGGGGGTGGTGAATTGGTGTTGGTTGAATTAGATTCAAATGTTAGTTCTGTACATAGTTCAAATTCCTTCCCTTATAAAAATGAATGATCAATCCCTCAACCGCAAAATTTGGCAAAATCTAATCCATTCAATCCGCAAACCAAACATTGACAAGAAATTTGGTCAAAGAATTGTCATTCTAATTCCATCAGATTCCTTTGGATTATGCTAACCAAACACCCCTTTTATGTTTTGATTATTGTAATATTTGGATTCTTAAGTACAAACCACTATCACTTCATTGTTCTTGTGTTCTGCTTTAAATTTAATTTAACCTTCTTTCTAAGACTATGTTCAAACCAACCCAACCTGTACATTAAAAACCATTTCAATGGGTAAAGATTTTCTAGACCAAAATGGTTGGATTGAATTATTCAAATACCCTCAACTCGTCCAACCCAACTCATGTACACCCCAACTTTTTATTCCGGTTAACTATTAGTCTCTAAATATGCCACAAAGACAAATTGTTGAACACATTTGTAAAGAGATGCTTGGCTAGGGGTTTTGGATGATGAAATCATAGGAACATTATTGGGAGAGATGATAATCATTCATTTCAACTTAAATTTGAGATGGAATGAAAATTTCACATCATTCTAACAAGAAAATTTTCAGTTTAGAAATGAGTTTTCGTTCCATGGAGTTGCTATATTTAAAAGAAACTTGATCCATGACTACTTCCAAACAACCTAGCAATACGTATTTCATGCCATTCTTCTAATCTAATGGGATAAAATTCACAGCCACTACCATGATTATAGCTAATTTTATTCTTAAAAAAAAGATCACTGAAGGGAATAAATAGGTTACCTGTCTATTCTGCGTAGCCTAGCTATTTGGGTCTTTCTCCTTCCTGCTGCTTCTCCTCATCATCTTATGCCTGCCATGGCCATTGTACTTTGCTTCATCCTCCTCATTTGGCTGCTGGCCTTGATACTTCTGTTGACCCTTCTTCACATGTGAATGCTTAACTATCTGGATAAAATCTGTGGATGTATCCTCATCCCGCTTAGGCTCAGGATGCCTACTTCGGTCTTTGCACTTCTCAGCTGACTGCTGACCTTTCTTAGAAATAGCTGGAGAATGCCTACCACCACCGTTGTACTTAGGACGCCTACCACGACCTTTGTACTTTGGTTTGTCTTCCAGCTCATCTGGTTGCTGATCTTGCTGAGAACTACCTGGCTCCTGCACTTCGGTTGCTGGTTCATCAAGATCAGGAAATTGGGGCCTCAACTTTAGAAGTTCTTTCAATGGCTTCTCCAAACTTGGACTTCTTGATCTCTGTTGTGATTCCATCTGCAGCAAAGGTGCAGCAAGAGCCAGCACTGTTTCCAGGTGACCTGTGTTCTTCTGGGAACTTCGGAGTTTTGCTCGCTGTCCGTTCATTTGAGTAGACACTGCACTTGATACCTGTTTTGTCTCTATAACCTGCTGGCTTTTTTCAGACAAATGCTCGTCATTTGGCACATAATAACCAGGAGACTCCATCAGCTCTGAGATTACTGATGCATCTTTCTTTGATATTGTCTTTATTTGTGATCTTGCCAAACCTTGTTTGCCCGGGTGCTTACTCTTGAGTAATATGGGATTGGAATCAGGAGATTTTTCCAGTTGCAGAAGCTGGGGATTCTGCTTCATCTGAATTTGTCCAAAGCTAATGTAACCAGAATTATCAGGGTGTGATTCTTGAGTAGTTTCATCATCCTTCTCTACATCTTCTGCCACATCGCTTTTCATTCTCTCTAGTTGATTTTGTGCTCCAGCATCTACACTTTTTCCAACCGCATTTTCATATTCAATTTGGATGTCGGTCACATTAACTTCAATAATTTGATTCTGCTCATCTGAGTCGCCCTCAATAATGTTATTATGTTGTTTCAAAGTTGCTTCACTCAACGTTTGAAGTTGAGTGTCCTCATTTATCTCATGTTTCTTGCCACGCTTACTGTTTCTCCTTGGTGACTTCAACCTCTTCTTCCTCTTTAATTTCCTATTCGTTGTTCCATGCATTTCTATTTGATCCTCATCATTGGCTAATTCTACAGATTGATTTTCATTGCCAGTGTCATCAACATGTGTACTCATATATACTTTTTCACCCACATTATCTTTTCCAATTTCTGATTGATTTTGTTCTGCAGGATTTGCAGGAACTCCACCCTCTTCCATCTCTTGAACAAATATATTGATCAGACTATTTCCTTGCTCAAATGTTCCATTTTCAATCTCTAGATATTGTGGTTCACACAATCCGTTGTGGATGATGCTTTCTTGTTCATCAGCCCCCTCATCAAACTGTTGAAGAACTTGATCTTGTTCTTGAAAGACTTTTTCTTGAGCGACTTCAACTGTCTGCTTGTTGGTTTCCTGTAAATCCAACTGGTGTTCTTTCTTTTTCTTATATCTCTTCTTGTGTTGCCTATTCCTTGTCTTGCCAGACTCTGAATCCGGCCTACTCTTCTGTTTCTTGCGGTGCCTACTGCTTTTCTTCCCTGATTCTGAATTTTGCTTCCTCTTCAACTGCTTCTCAGATCTAGAGCTGGAGATTGGGTCAAAATCTGCATCGCCAAGCACATAAGATTGCTTGTGAGTCATACGAATCTCTTTACGATCACAAAGCTTCTCAAGGTGATGTTTCAGCAACGTTGAGTGAGCCCAAGGCAAATCAACATACTCCCGTTTTATGTGTTCCGATATTGACTCCTCGCTAGAACCCCCTTTCTCCTTTAACTCCCAAATTGCCCTATGAATCATCTGTATCCAGAAATGACCATGATATAAGATTAGATCACCAGCACGATAATTTTGACAAGCAAACATAAACTACAAAGGCAGAAACCACCAAAAGTAAACCACCTTCTGAATTGGAGAAAGCTTATTATCTCGGATTATTCTCCTTACACGTAATTAACACAGACAGAACTTCCAATGCCCTTTTTACTCATTTCCCCCCACACCCAAATCAAGAGAACCAGTTTCGTTTAGCAGTTGACGGGATGGTGCCATCACCTATTGAAAGCTCTGATTTCACCAACCTCTTCTTGAATAAGAAGACAATTCTAGACAAAAACTTTATGTGTTTCCTATAAGGTTCTAATTGACGTGAGTCATGGCGTGGCAGCGAGGTCAAGCCTTAAGCCTATACATGCCACAGCAAGGATGCAGCATTTTTCAAGGCATTACATAAGGCAGCAAATTTGTTTGTCATATATATATATATATATATATATATACACACACACATATATATAAGAAAAGTTATATATTGATATCAATTAAAGAGTCCGTGATCAAAGATTCATATAGAACTCGTGAAGGTTTTATATTTTTGTTTTAACGTGAGTCAGTGAGATGTATGTGTGAATCCATGATTCTGTGAGTGAAGTAATTAGATAAAAGTGTGCAACCTAAAGTTACAAGAGTAAGATACAAAGGTAAAGAAGTAAAAAAACGGCCACGCCTTGTAAAAAACGTGCATCGTGGCACTCCTCAAGCAGCCATAGCATGAGCCACACCTTACACAGACGTTATGGGGCTTAAGGTAACGTCAAAGACGCATCTTGCGCCACGGCACACCTTTTAGAACCCTGGTTTTCTATGTGAGAATATCATGTTTGCATACAAAATCTCAAATTTTCTTTAATAAACAAGAGAATTTTGGTCATTCAGTCTGTGGTATTATTTTTCGGGCAAAGTGTACTTAAACACTGCTTATGATCTCTACAGCAGAAATGAGTAGGAATGGGTTCCCATCCCATATATAATAAGCAGACAAAAGGCTGATCAATAGCAATTATGTTTATCTCCAGGAATAATTAATTATCCATGTAGTCAATTTTGGATATGGGAAAAATGGGCCTTTTCACAGCAGAAGTTATGATGTATACCAAATTTCTACTACACCAACCTAGTTTCAAATTTAAAACAAAAATGGAAATATGGAGATTTTAACAAGCTTTAAGTAAAACAGTTCCCTTTTCATAGTATAGTTATGTTTTGATCGTTGAATATTTATCTAACATTAAAAGAAGCTCAAAATTGTGTCCTTTTCTGGAACTGAGAAATTACTAGGCTCTATGCAATGCAAGTACGAATTACAGTTAAAACTAATAATACGAAACCTTCACCATTGAAACGAATAATTGCCTTTCAAGCGCAACGCAGAAGACCATTTCCGACGATCAAACACCAAAGAAACCCTAAATGCGGAAATAATCATGAACATTTGAAATCAAATAAACAAAAAAAGAACCCCACGAATGCACTTACAGCTGCATAAGGTGGATGATTAGGGATCCGAAAATCGGAGGAGAATTGAGAGAAGCGTTGTTCGATCAACCTGGTATAGGAATTGGTAGCATCATTTTGGAATAAAGTAGGGTTTGAATGCGCAAATTTAATGAGGGCTTCTTTGAACATCTCCATGGCTGGTTGATGGTTTTGAGCAGTTGTGTTGTTAGGGTTATGGAATCGATAGGATTTGGTTTCCATGGATTAAAGGAAGAATATCGTATTCATTTCAAGATTCGGAGAGAGAAGAATTTTGGCTCAAAATCTTCAAACCGTTTGGGGGAAGCTTAAATTGGAAATATGACCGCGCCTTTCCTGCACACAACATTTAAATATTTTTCAAAAAAATGTAAATTATATAAAAATCTATTTTGTTTCATTTATTTGGTTGATTTTTTTATCTATACTATCTTATAAACTAGATTTATTAAAAGTCTTAAAAATAATTTTTAATATATAAAATACTATATATTTATGTACAGAGTCTTAAAAATAACTCATAATACACTAAATACTACTACTTTATACATTCAATCTTAAAGTCTCTTAATTTACAATTAAAATAACATATACTACAAGTTACCAATGCATATTATTACATTTTCTTTTCATATTCTCAAGATACTTTTGACACATTTCACTCATGCCTTCACCATCTCATACCTCTATGTTTTCTCCACATCCCCCAATGTGAGATTCAAACTGATATTCACCATGAATTATCAAAAGTTATCTCATTCATTGCTCTAGAACTCTCGGTCTCGATCTCTTATTTTTTTCCTCTTGGTGTAAATCGAACACATTTGTGGAGTCGTTTAAATATGTTGAATTTTAAAATATATTGGATATTAAACTGTCTTACAATCTTTTTCATCGATAAACTGTAATTGGAACCATAACTCTTATTTATTCAAATTATATTAATATGTAAAGACCAAGTATAACTTATATCATCGTTAAATATTCTATAATAAAACCAACAAAACTTCAAACTCGTTAAAATTCACGGCTCACGCCACATTGTGCAGGTACACAACTAGGATTGCGCGGATACATAACTAGTAAATAGAATAATTGTATTTTTTTTTTTAATTGAGGGGGACAGGTTTTAAAAAAATTTATCTTTCTATTTAAGGTTTCTTTTATTGAATAGGTTATTTTTTATATCATTGTAACATACTCATTTTTTTTTAAATATGTTTGGCAAATGTCTCTAAATGTGTTCTAATGTCTATTATGTGTTTAATAAGGTGGATTATGTGTTAATATAATGCTGTATTGAGGACTTGTAGCAAAATCCGTAAGAAATATAAAGGGTTTCATAGGTTGTTATAGAGTTAGCAGCATCATCCTCTCGTTCAAAGTTAGAATAACTCTGAATTCAAGTTCTTCAGACTTCGTCTTCAAATTTGACATTTAGCGTTAGTCGCGTCTTCTCTTAAAATAACTCCGAAAAATATCTCTTCAGACTTGTACTTGTACGTCTTCAGATCACCCAAACTCTGAAGACTTCTTTTCAAATAACTAAATAATGCCTCTTCCGACTTGTACTTGTACGCCTTGAGATTACCCAAACTCTGAAGACTTCTTTTTCAGAGGTCTAAAGAATATCTCTTCAGACTTGTACTTGTACGCCTTGAGATTGCCCAACCTCTAAAGGCTTCTTTTTCAGACTTATACTTGTACGCCTTAAGATCGCACAAACTATGAAGTCTTCTTTTCCAAAGATTTGAAGATAGACTTTCAGAGTATAGTTCAACCAGAGGGGCTCTGGTTGTATTAACATTTAGTGTCCAGAGGGCCTTTGGTTGCAAAGAATTGTTGGACCAGAGGCTTTGGTTGCTCTTTCAGACTTAGACTTAGTTGAGTTAGCACAATTCAGATCGTTGAACCTTCCATCCTTAGCCCAAATTGTTGTAATTAAACTTTCATAATATTTAGGACCATTTTTGTCCTAACAGCTTTTCTGTAATATATTTGTTGAAGTTATATATCTTGTTACGAACACGTGGGCCAAAAAAGTTATGAATTTTTAAGTGTTTGATGGTCAAAATGGGTGTCGGGTCAAACCCGACCCAAAACGAGTTTGTGCAATAAAGTGATGAAAATTAGATCTTTTCACATCATTTTTACTTCTACGAGCTTCTAGACCAAATTGCGTGTGATTTCATACACCAAAAGCTAAAACCTAGCTAAATCTTGGCGAAACTGAATAGAAATTTCAAAGATTTTGAAGATTTAAAGGTATAAATGTCGGTATTTGGATTTTCTTAATGTATTTGGATTCATGCAACTAAGGTTTAAGCTATAAAATGAATGATGGAATTATTTTGTAGAAATATGATGAGACTACTTGTTGTTTGGCCAAAAACTTGGATTTATTTTAAAGGATTAGTTGAAATACGATTGCATTATGAACACAATAAAACGATGATTTTGACGAATACGACTTGAGTTTTGCTATTTTATAAATTTTGTGATATTTTGAGATAGAAATCTGAATTTGGTTCCAAATGGGAATGGTTTGGATACAAAATTGTTAAAGATAGTCATTTTGAAACTTAAAAGTCAATGTTTTTGTTTTGTTTTAGAAAATTCGTATAAAATCAAAGAAAAATCCAACAGACATGAGGTCAGTGGCATCTGAAATCAACTTTTGATGTATCTTTTAAAAAAGTACAACTGCTAGAGCCCCGTATTTACTGGCGGGGATCTCGATATTCAATGATCAAAGGCCTTGTGGTTGTCACCGGTGGATTTGAACCACCACCTTTGGGAGCAAAACATAGGCCCAACAAACTACCATTCAAACAAATGAACAAACTATTCTTTATAATGCAACTTTATTTCCGGTATGACTGTTATCTGAATCGTTAACTGTCAGAACTAGAGATGGTGAAAAATCGGTTCCGAACTGGACTGAGCTTAAATCGGTCATCGGCTGAGATTTTTCTTTGGTAACTTTCTATGCCAAAAAGTACACTAAATATAATTTAAGGTTTGTTTGTGGGGCTTAACCAACTAAAGATCAACCACTTTGAAATAAACATGAGAAAATAACAGAAACAAAGATACAATAAGACAGAGGATCGGTGACGCGGAAAAACCCTTAAATGAGAGAAAAATCCATGGACGATACAGGAGATCGTTTGATGCACTATGGACGTCAATTAGTGACATTGTCATTGATTACAATTACAATGATGTGAGCAAAGTAACCTGTCGGTCGTGGAAAATAGTAAAGAACAAGAATTGCTTCTACAGGTAGACTTCGTATGCGTATAAATTCTGATGATCTGGGGTTG